AATTTGTCCATTGAGCTGCTGTAGACCTTTTTTTTTTTTTAGAGATCGATTTGACTTCAAAATTTCCAAAAGACCTTTTTTTTTTTTGGACATCAATTTCTCCGGGTCTGTCATGAAATAGATCTGGCAACCCTACTCACCGACCATTTTTCATTGCAACAAATGTCAAGCGATAAATAATTTTATAATAGGGATTACGAAAATTAACTCTTAATGATCTAGACATAGCTTTCTCTCTCCCATCTCTCTCCTCCCTCTCTCCTACCAACCCCTATCTCTCCCCCTCTTTCCACCCCTCTCTCCTTTCCCCCTCTCTGGCATTCTCTCACCGTTTCTTATCTCATTCTCTCGCTCTCCCCTCTCTCATTCTATTTCTCGATCTCCCCTCTCTTGCCCCATATCTCTCTCTCTTCCCTCATATTTCCTTCTCTCGCATTTCCGCCATATCTCCCTCTCCCCCATCTTCCCCTCTTTCCCCTTCCCCTTCAAAACCATGTCAAAGTTATGACCCATTTACACGAGGCCAGTTGTGAAGACATTCCACTAAGCCAATCCAACATTGGCATCGTGTAAATAGAGACAGTCCTGTAAATGGAATGTCTCCAGCCATTGTCCCAAGCCAATCCACTAATTAGAACGGTTTCTTAGTCTACTAAATGCCAGCCTCAAACTAGCAGATCTACTGGAAAATCCATTGACTTAGCAACACTGGCTGGCAGAAGCAAGTGGGACTATTTTTTATGGATACGGCTCTGAATCATTTAGTAACTATCGGTTTCAAACGATGGATTCATAGTCTATAGGAATAAATCATGTTTTTTTTTAATATGCTATCGACCTCTGAATTTATGGAACCCTGTTTCAAAGCATCTAGTTTATGCCTCATGCAAATTATTTTCTTTATGTGAATGAAAATACATATAATCAGAAAACCAATAAAACATTGTCATATTTCTTTAGAGGATGTTATTTATTCGACAAAATAATTTAAACTGATAATAATAAAGTTAAAATTTATGTGCAAAATAAGACTCATTTTATTAAACTGATGAAAAGGAACAAAATGTTGTAAATAGATCCCATGATATACTTCCCTAATCATGTTTAACCAAAGACAATTTTACCTTTATAATTCCAAATTGTTATTTAATTGTTTTTATTCAATTCTGCCTGTCTAATCTATAATTACCGTAAATGTGTGCATCATATGACTCATCTGATACAAATTTATAGTTGATTAGTTTGCAGGCTCCGCTGTATCAGCTTATAAATCCAAAACTGCTAATTCAATTACATGAACACACATCATCATTGACGCATTATTAACTTAATCAATTCGTATACGCCTTTACACTTTTACAGAATAAAAAGGCGGAGAATCTATTAAGTCACATGTTATTATTTTACTCATTAGCCCGATTAGCCGACCTCAATGTTAATAGCAATTAGGTACTGATTTTAATAATAATAAATGTATGAAAACTATATTTAGAAAACAAATTAAGTATTTCCTTATTAACAAAATAAAATATGTCACATACTTTTTATATTTATTTAAAACTTATTGCTGTATACATAGTACTGCAAAATCAGTATTTGTCTTGTCAGGACAAGTTTGCCAAATAATTCGGACAAAATTCGGCAATCATATTTTTTTCTTTTTGAATACCCTGTGAGGTATTGTATGTCGTATCACGACGTGTGACCTCCCTACTGCTCCTTTACATCGCGGCTCTCTGTACCTACCTTAATTCTGGACTTTGGTTTTGGACCTGATGGGAGTAGATTATTTTGCCTATAACCTGCGTACACCCTCGGAATGGCGCTGGTTTCACTGGAAGCTTTCAAGTGAGCCTATTTTGGATTAGAATTTTTTTGGGCGCTTCGTGTATGGTTACTCAGGTATCTATATGCTGCCTTTTGTAGGCTTTGTCTTGCCTAAGCACTTACGTATGTAGGTCCACTTGAGTACCTAGGTTTTGAAAGCTACTTGTGGGTGGGTTTTTATTCCTTAGGATCTTCAATGTGATTTCACTTCACTTCGTGATCTAGGCGCTCGCAATTGAATTTTAACAATGTTTTGAATCGAGAAAATATGTTTATTTGTGATATTTGCATAATAATATTAATTTATGGAGCATTAATTATTATTTTAATTTAATGCAATAAGAAATAAATATGGAGCATACAACATGTACTAGCCAGATATTCGTCCCTGGTTAATAAGTTGCAAGTTACTAGAGGCGACGTTTGATCACACCCCATGGTAACTCCGCTGTGGAACTGCAGGGATCTTTGCAAAAGGATGGCATATTTGATCTCTGGATTTTCACTCTCCTGGGGTGGACTCGACCCGCACTGGTATTTGGACTTGTCGTTGGGTGTGGGGGTGTAATTTTGATGTACCTATTTGGGAAACTTTTTATTTCCCAAAATTCGAAACATAGGCGATTTTTCTGCGCGTCGGTGATGTTTCTGCCACTAGCATGGTTCTCTGTTTGTGTCATTTGCTGTAGCTGGTGACTGAAGGTGGTTAGAAGCTTGGCTTGGAAGGCTTTGACGGAAATTTTCGAAACCTACTTGATTTAGATTTCGTTTCACATTTTAAGTTTCATAGGGTTGGTGGTCCAGATGCTCCCTGTGATCGGTTCGTTACTCAGATTGGAAAGTTCAGTGAAAACTGCCTTTGCTCCGATTTGCAAAATATCTGACTTGTATAATTTTGCATGTGACATGACAAAGGACGTGTAATTTTACTATTTACAAAAACTGAGACTGATTGACATTGATTGGAAACAAAAAAATAATTATAGATATTTTACATTAACACAAAACAAAAACTAACGAAAAAATATACGTGTTCTACTTAGCTGAGATCCCAGCCCAGCTGATCTTAGATATTCTGGAAGTTGATTCGTCAATTAAGTAAGGTTAATCGTGATCTCGTCTAAGGTAAATAAATCACGGCTAATATTAACAACGTAAAAAGTATCATCGAATAGTATGCAGCTCGGTATGCAGTTTAACTAGAATTAGAAAGCAATGTAAGAAAAATTTCGCGATTTTCTGACGCTGAAATAAAACTCGGGAAAGGCAAACTTGAGTACTGGGACACTCGCTTGCAACACAATTGGGACGACGCTCAACTTAAACTCATTCCACTTCCCTACCCTACCGCAGGTCATAAATTATTTTTGGAATGGGAAGACTGTTCTGTTTTTCAACTTTAAAAACGTCAATATGTCCTTTTCGGACGTGTAGGTATGTCTGTTCGGACATAGCAAAAATTTTCTTCTGGGCATTACTTAACTTCTATACAGAGTGCCCTAGAAATAAGCTGCAAAATTTTGAAAAATTAAAATTTTGTCACCTTGAAGCAAAAGTCGATTTGCTTAGTGGAATTAAGAATACACAAAAAAGTAGGAACTTCTTAGTGCAAATATTTAATATTTGTGTTTACATAAAGTAGGGAATCTTTCAAAAAAACATTTGCTTGCGTTGCTTTGATATTTCTATATTCCGCTTGTTAGCTTTAAAAAAATAGACAAAAAGTTGAGTAAAATTAAGGGAGCTAATAACAGAATATACCTACTCGTTTTTTTTTAAATAAACATGCAATAGTATGCGATTTCGTCGTTCACTCAAGCATGAAAAACCTTACCATATTCATTTATTTAACAAATTTCCAATAGAAAAATAGTAATTACAGGCGTTAAAGGTTCCAAGTTTTGGATCATGGATAACTTGAGTTTTTTGAATCAAGGGTGAGGTTACTCATGCTTGAACGAAAATTTATAATTTAGAAAAAATGGAACCCTGTGTTAAATTTGACATGCATAATTAAATCTTTGAATTTATTAGGGTACTTCTTATAATTTACAAGATATTTGAAGTTTTTCGTATTTTGGAAGAAATAGACACTGTTTTTAATTCAAAATATTTAAAATAATATTTTAAATCAACATTTTCCACAGAGACAGATTGGATGGTGCCCCTTAATGGGCCAGCTACAATTCCTTGATCTAAAAAAGTTTACTTTTTCTCGTGGGAATTATAAAAATTAAGGAATAAATTTATGTGTGTATGCTTGTACACACTTTTCTACTATGTATTTTGGTAAATTTTCTGTTAAATGATGTTCAAACAAGATTTTGCACTACATTTTGGTAATTTCATTATGGGACAATAATTTTTTAATGTGGAAAAATACAATAATATACAGAATGTTCCTTATGAAAAAATGGGAACACGCCGTATAATTAAAAATAATTTTAAAACACTGTGATATTGATTTGGTGCAACTTTTATTTGGATAATTTTTTTGTATTATTGATAAATTAGGTTTATTCAGGTTCAGTGAACCATCCTAGTTGAAAATAATTGACCTTTTATCAGAGAAATCAAATAAAAACATCTTGAAAATACGGTGGGGTAACTATTTTAAAATGTTTTAAATCGGGTTAAACAATTTTCAAGCTGGTTGCCACATTGTCGTTTAAGCTTCTGTACGTTGCAGGAAACCCATCGGTCTCTTCTTGAGAAGAAACTCTGAAATTGAAAATTAAGTCCTCTGGCTGATATTTATTGTGTTCTAAACCTGTTCACATTGTTGAAACTCGATTAGACTTATTATCAGAGTTATGAAAGTATCGGTCTTAAATAGGATATCCTGTATACGGTGTGTTCATTTAAAATCTCCCCATCATTATTCAGAACAAAAATAAAGAGAAAAAATGCGATAATAGGTTATTGTTTGTTTCAAAAGGAAACTTTTGTGACACATTTTATGATAATCCCCTTTGCAATTTTCTTCTGCTTCTATCCCATGTGACACTTCATTTTGAAAATATTTTTGTTGTCACAGTGGTGAATCTATTTTTAATAATAATTATTCCCGGGAATTTAATAAACTTAATAGTGATTCTTTGATATAATTTCCTAGTTATTCTAAAAATGTTTTCAAAAATTTAATGTATGTATATTTATTATAATTTTTTCAGAGGCGAAGTCTTCGTTCCCCTCGGAAGATGGACAGGCTCCGGAGATCCTTTAGGGATTCTTTTCGTAGACGAAAGGACAGGATTCCAGAAAGTTCCAAACCTCACCAATGGCAGGCGGATGAGGCTGCGGTCAGATCGGGCACATGTACTTTTGCTGTGAAATATTTAGGGTGTGTTGAGGTGTTTGATTCAAGAGGAATGCAAGTATGTGAGGAAGCACTTAAAGTTTTAAGAGTAAGTTTTTTTCTCATTTTCATTTAATCAGTTATTTTTTATTTTGTACAGCCAAACAATAAAAGGTGTAATACCACGTATCAAAAATGAAGGAGCAGTTTATTCCAGATTAAAGAATATTTTCTTATATAAAATTTGTTCTTGAAGCCTTTGAATGAAATGCACAACAAGCAAAAATTAAATGTCAGTTGAAAGCATAGATATGAGGCACCGATTATATTTTCCTCAAAAATTATAGCATGTTATTGGAAAGATTTTTTTTTAATAAACAAATTTTATTTGAATAAAAATGATCTTTTGACTTGATTTGATTTTTCTATAACTGTACCATTTTGGTACAAACTAACAATTTTTAAAGCTGATGTGTTTAAATATGTTTAAAATTATACAGGATAATACGTACCAACATGTCAAAATTGTTTTTCCTAGCCAAATTTAAAAATATTATGTATACAGGGTGTTCTGAAAGTCCGTCAGTCCGTAAACACATTAATAACGATTTCCTGGTAAACGGCTTGAACAAAGAGTACATAATTTTTTCTGATATTATTTCCTTTTCAAAAATTTTTAAATTTCTGTGATGTCTAGCAAGAGAAAAAAGTTATGAACAAAACAAATTTTGAGTTCAAGGTAAAGTGCCCTCTAGCGGTGTATAATGAAACTTTTCTCTGACTGGTCCAATAGAACTTGAACCACTTAGTAGGTGTGCCAAATGACGGACTAATAGAACTTGAATTAAATAAGTTATTTAAATAGAAAAAAAAATTGAACTTTGACAAGCTGTAACTTGCAAACAATTGACAATTCGAAAAAATTTTCATTACATACTGCTATTATTTTAATCCGTAGAATCAGCTCCCCGAGTTTCCTGATTGACTTTCAGAACACCTTGTATAAACATTTGCTCTTGAAATCTTTGTTTTTAAGGTGTACAATATATGTTCCACTTTTTTTTGGAGTTACCTCTGTATCTCTGTCAAAAGTAATCTGTTTAATTCAGTTGGTGTTGAATAAAATAGGGTCACTAGATAATCAAACTTGGTAACTTTCTGTTAGATTTTCTCCATAGGTGTCCCCACTAGGACATTTCAAAGTGGCCATTTTTTAAAAATTAACATTGACAGTTTTAACGGAGAAATTCTTTATCAGCGTCCTAAAATATCTCTCACCATGATTTTTCTTAAACTTACTGGGATACAACACTGCATTCTTTCATTCATTTAAACTTTTATCATTTAAACTTCTAATTCTTTAAACCGGGTATCCCGAAATTAATGCAACAAAATTTGGTCATAGATTCTTATTAAGACTCTTAGGAGACCCATATTTTTTATTTTTGCCCCTTCTTTCGGAGTTACAGCCCCCTGAAATTTACCTTTAACAATAGTCTTTTTTATATAGTATATCAGAACCCTGTTGTATGAGAATCGCTAAATTTGGTAGGCAGGGGTTTCATGACATGTGGAATCTGATAGTGCTACACTTTTTGGCGGGGAACCCCCCTAAGACGCTTTTTTCGTGGGCCCCCTTGTCTTTGGTGCCATAAAAATTTGGTCGCATATTTGAAATTCTTAAAAATTATTAATCCGCTAGAAAGCCATTGAATATAGAAATTTTTTTGTCTCGATATTTTTTCGAGAAGAATGGCAAAATTTGATCGATTGCATCGCCAGCCATCTACAATTAACATGTAGAATTTCATACAAATCACAATGTGCATGCAATCACATTTTGCCATTTTTCTTGAAAAAACTGCGTTTTATGAAAAAAATATCGAGACAAAAAAGTTTATAAATTCTATTATAATAATAATTAAGAAATTCAAATATGCGACCAAATTTTTTTGCCTCCAAGAAACAAGGGGGCCCACGAAAAAGTGTCTTAAGGGGGTTGCACGCCTAAAGGCGTAGCACTCTTAGATTCCACGTCCATAAAACCCCTTGTGTATCAAATTTAGTGATTTTCATACAACAGGGGTTAGGGGTGGACTTCAAGGGGCTGTAACTCCAAAAGAGGGGGTCACTTGGCAAAAATAAAAAATATAGGTCTATAATTTGTCTTAAGGATCTGTGACCAAATTTTGTTGCATTAATTTTGGGACACCCGGTATTTTATCCATATCGGAAAGAATATTTGCATTTTAATTCATTATTTTATGAAAGGAAAAGCAACATAATTTAATTAATTATTATTTAATTATTAATTTACTGTTAACACAGTAAAAGATATATGTATAGAAGTCTCGGCATTTTTATCTAAAATAAATTAAAAATAAAAATTTCATGTACTGTGCTATAATTTTTTGAGAAAATTTCACCTGTGTACCTGATACCCACATCACTGCTTCAGACCGAGGCTCAATTTTTTCACTTTGAATGCCATTATGTATTGTACACACAAAATTTAATTTCAATATACTCAATTATTCAGAAGATATTCAGAGATGTCATTTTTTTTTAAACTTCAGCACCCGGAATCAAAAAATTAAATATTCAAGGGCAAATATAAGTAAATATTCTTAAATTTTGACAAGGAAAATGCTTCTTTTTTTCTTGACAAGTTCATTGTATTACACCTTGTATGTCATGAAAAAGTAGTAAAGTCAAATCATTTAATTTGCACCACAGGGTTCTCGTAGAAGGCCAGTGAGAGCAGTTCTGCATGTTAGTGGTGACGGTTTGCGTGTTGTCGAGGAGGAAACCAAAGGATTAATAGTCGACCAAACAATAGAGAAAGTATCGTTTTGCGCCCCAGATAGAAACCATGAACGTGGTTTTAGTTACATTTGTCGAGACGGTACTACAAGGAGGTGGATGTGCCACGGTTTCTTGGCACTCCGCGAATCTGGGGAGCGCTTATCTCATGCTGTAGGCTGTGCGTTTGCTGTGTGTTTAGAGAGGAAACAAAAGAGAGACAAGGAATGCGGGGTGACTATGATGTTCGATATGAAGAACAACACCTTTACGAGGACAGGATCCTTCAGGCAGCAGAGTTTGACAGAGAGAGGGGTCGATGTCGGTCCGCCTAAACCGGCTCCTGTAAATCCCTTTGCAATCGAGAGGCCGCATGCTACTCCCAGTATGCTTCAAAGACAAGGAAGCTGTAGAGGGTTAGTAATTTATTTAATTTAGTTATGTTTTATGAAGCAATGAAAGTTAACAATGATTGCTAGCAATTGTTGCTAAATCCTAATTGATTAAATTTACTGTTGATCTTGAGAAATACACATCATAACTTTGTTTTCTTGTCATTTTTGACATTTTTCTATACATTTTTTTCATAATATCACATACAATTTTAACAATGAAGACACACAAACACACCAAGCCATCATAGACAAATATCAGTTTAAATTTTACTATAAAAATAAACTTGATAAAACACAACACTGCACAAATTCTATCTCAATTTCAGTAATAGCTAATATTTCACTCGAAACACACTGAATTAATGCTCCTTTTAGTGCCCTGTTTTATGTCACATCAAGTGGATTGATACTATGTAGTTAACTAAGTCAATATCAGAGGCCATTAACAAACTAACACTCACAAACTAAACACAGTGCTTAAAAAATAATAACAAATACATTATATTTCAAATTACATATTTCATAATAAATACAGATCAAAGTGTATTAAAAAAAACTCAAACAAATATAATATAAACACAAAAATTATAAGACTGAAGAAAGAAAAAGATGTCGAAGAAAGATCTTCAACAAATATCAAAATAATTAGGAAATTATTTAATTTTTAGTAGTGACATCTTTTATATAAATTTAAACTGACTCTCGTAGGGAAAACTGTTAGTTTTGTACTTAATTACTTTTAGATTTTTTAGCAGTAAGTATTCTTTAATGTTTGAAAAATTTTTTGTATTACAATTGACCTTTAATATGAAGTGGAGTAAGCACATAAGGAAGATATTATTTACAGTGGCGACTAGTAAAAATGAAGTGGTCATATTTTTATAACAAAACATAGGACCCATACCACTTTTTTAGGGGACGATTTATATCCCCAAAAAATGAACTTATGAAATAGAGGTGTCCAACTTGCAATCTCGAAAACGGTTGCACTTGTATGTGCAAAATATTTGTTTCAGAATTTTATGTTTCACAAAATTGTATTTTTTTTCAGTTTATTTAAATACAAGGTGTCACGCTTAAATATGATACAAGCCTGTAACTTCTTTTTTTTTAGGCCGATTTCAAAAATTTTTAATTTGGAATGTGGGCTAAAAAAAACTATCTAACTGTGATATTGCTGATTTTGTTAATGCAATTCATGGCCAAATAGAACGTGTTTTCTTGACATCAAAACAGCTGATTGGTATTAGCGATTTTTTTTCCAAAAAACAGATTACGTATTCTTATTTAGCATCCCTTAAAACGTCTTACTACCAAGTTTCATCAAATTCGATACGTCTTCAAGCGAGCACTTCATGATGTCGCGAAATGTAATACAAACCTGTAACTTCTTTATTTTTTGGTCGATTTCAAAAATTTTTTTACGGAGTGTAGGGTAAAAAAACTATCTAACTGTGATACTGCTATTTTTTTATTAATGCAATACACAGCCAACTAGTGCTCGTCTGAAGATGTATCGAATTTGATGAAACTTGGTGATAAAACATTTTAAGGGATGCTGAATGAGAATACATAATCTGTTTTTTGGAAAAAAAAATCACTAATACCAATTAGTTGTTTTGACGTCAAAAAAACGCGTCCTAGTTGGCCGTGAATTGTATTAATAAAAACAGCAGCATTGCAATTAGATAGTGTTTTTTATCCTATATTCTAAATAAAAATTTTTTGAAATCGGTCAAAAAATAAAGAAGCTACAGGCTTGTATCACTTTTAAGTGAGACACCCTGTTATTATATATACAGGGTGTAACTTTAATTGGGGGTCAATTTTTTAGGGGTACGTAATACTACGAGTTGCCCTGAATACGAATCTGAAATCCTTCTTTTTGTTTAATCAAATAAATAGTCCAGTTATAATTAGTTTTTTTTTTTAAATGCACTTTAATTCTTGTGTACACCGTCATTGTAAGTAATTATTCATGTATTACAAATACATGTATTGTAGGCAACCTACAGTGCATGTAAAGGGAGATAGTGCGGGTCGACTGTGATGAAGCGAAGGAGATAAGTTGTTGTTCCGCTTTTGGAGACAGTTCATCTAACTATGAATTTGAATGTTTTTCAACGCTGGATGTAATCAACAGATCGCTTTCTCTATCCTTTGTCTTACGTGTCTGTAAGAACTGAGAGACCCACAAGGACTATTTATTTCTTTCAACGGAATTTGAAAAAATAAACTATTGATATATGTTTCTAAAGGTCAAAGGAAGCCTCTGTATAAATAAGAACCCCACTCAAAGTTACACCCTGTATATTAATATTTATTATATATTTAATTTATTTAAATATTAGTTTATTTAAATTTAAATTTTTTAAATTTCATGAAACAATAACTTGTTGAAATATGTATATTTTAGGAAAAATAAAATACATCTGATTGTATATATCAGTTACTTATGAAAAAAATATTTTGCACAAATACATACGACCTTTTTAGTGATAAAGACTAAACAAGAATACATATAAAATAAAATAAGATCAAAATGATTATCATAGTCATTTGCAGAAGAGATATTGTCTTACTTTTCACAACTACTTGCCATAAAGCTACTTGTGTGCAATTCCTCTATTTTTCCTAAAAATTGCTTTCCCTCGTATGATGGGAATTGCAATGTGAAAGTCTGTGAGCATTTTCATCTTTAGCATGATATTCATTTATCAACTGTAATTATGTTAAAATATCCATAAAAACTGCAGACATATGAGGACAATTTTTCTTAATATAGAGTACAACAAAATTATAAAAAATAAGTAACTAAAATTATAACTTTTTTCCCTATAAATCGATTAACTGATAGATATGTTTATTTAAAAAAAAAGTAGCTGGCGTTTTTTCTTTCTACTTTCTATAAACGTCAGCACAATGTTTTAAAAACTAACTTTACTCAAAATATAATAAAATTGAAAGAATAATACAAAAAAGCATCGTTGTAATTTAAAATTAAGTAACGAAAAAAATCTATTTGTTTGTTGATAAAGCAGTTTTATTTGCTATAGTAGCAACAATTTCTGTTACAGCTTTAGCACTCTCGGCCAAAATTCTCCCTTCAAGAGACAGATGTCGCTAAGAGTAAACGAACTGCCAAGCAACACCGCCCGTTTAAATTCTTATAAGTCGCCCACTTCGCCAACGAATTCCAACAGCAAACTACCCGTGTCTCCGATTCCTGAGGTGTCACCAGGTGATTCCGTCACAGCTTTATGCCAGCAGCTGTCCCAGGGACTCAGTCAATTAACTCACAGCGGCTCCGATGATTTCAACTTCAACAATCAGAGCTCCGTCAACCAAAATACCTTGAATTTAAATGTAACAACTATAAACAATACGTACAATAGATCTATTACGTCTACACCGGCTCCTGCTGCGACCACCGTCACTCCAATTAGTTTAAGTTTTAGTCCGAATTTGAGTAAGAATGATGCGTCCGTCACTACCTGCTCACTAAATACCTCTGTTTCTTCGACAACTAGTCCTCTGCCCAAACCAGAACAGTGGCTGGAACTCGTCAATTCTACTTCGCCAGCGCCAGGCAGAATGGACGGAGCTTCTCCAAGGAGGACTCCGTCATTCAAGTCGCATTCGAGGGCCGTGTCTTTAGACTCCGGTTCTGAGAGCCTGCAGAATGCCAAGCCCACGGATCCGTTCGATGCTGAATGGGCAGAGCTCGCAGCAAGGCAGAATAATAGTACGAATCCCTTTTTGGCAGCTTCTACTGCTCCTAAAGCTTTTCAGATTCAGTTGTAAGTCTTACAAAACCTTTCCCAAAATTCCGTTGTTATTTCGTATTATGGTGAACTGGCTCAAGTTTGGTCACGGGTTGGCAATTTCCGGTATTCCGGAGTGTTCTACAAATATTATATAAAAAATTGTTGTACTGATTTTGCCGAAATTCGACATGGAAAGGATGACTGATAATTTGCGTTACTGTATTAGAAAAAGTTACACTGATTGCATTCTCGAATACTTGGTATGGATATTCTAGAGACACAGAATATAAAGTTGCATTCCTCTTTTCTTTTGCTTGAGGATTTTGTTCCAAATATCTAAAATTTTTAGACTAAAAAGTGTCAACATTCCACATTACATACAGGGTTGTGATCCATGGGTAGCGCCACTTTAGAGGTTAGGAAAAAAGGTGATTTTTGGGAATTTTCAAGGAAAATTGGTGCAAGATACATGTAGTGTCAGGAACAAAAAGGCTCTATTGTACATGTCTTCAGGTAGTATTGTCAATTTTTTTAAACAATTTGAATTCAAAATGGCGGCTGTAGGTGATGGCGAGCAACAACACCTTTTTGTCAGAGGGGTGTATGGCCAGAAATGTTTCTTATTAACGGATGGTCTCTGAATAAAAAAACAAACATTTTTTAATATATACTGAAACCTAGGGAACATCATAGGGAAATTAAAAAATTAAAAAATATTAATAATTGGGTGAACATTAAAAAAAAGTATTAAAAAAAACAAAAAATTTTGCATTTAATTGTTAATAGCAACGCAAATTGTTAATAAATCGAAAACCTCTACGAAGTTCCCAGAGTTATGTTATCGTGAAGCTTTGTACAAAATTTCAAGTCGATTCGATGAAAACTTTTTTCTGGCCAGTTAAAAAAAATGGTTTCTTGAAAAACGCTTTCAAAGTTTTGATTGTTGACATTCAGCATAAGAAATTCGTTATATGTACCGGGTAGGAAAGTACCGATGGTCTAACTGAAGTTACGTGAGAGCGATAAAGTAAGCCATAGAAATCCATGCGATAGAGAAGGATGGCTATAATGAAGGCGTCTCACAGTCACCGCCTGTTTCACCCTTCCACAAATAAGATCCACTTCTTATTTGTGGAAGGGCGAAATGGGCGGTAACAATTAGACGCCTTCACTATACGCATCCTTGTCTATCACATGGATTTCTATGGCTTATTTTATCGCTCTCACGTAACTTCAGATAGACCATCGGTACTTTCCTACGTGGTATACCTTCGATCAGCGATGCCTGCACCATATAATTGGTCTTCTTATTTTCTTATTTTCCTCATCCTCTTCTTTTCGGCTTAATCTGACACTCAATCTGGCATCTATAATAGCTAACTATCTCACGTGATTTCAATTTCACGAGTTACAATAAACATTCCTGCAGCGTGCTGCGAGTGGTTGCTCTCCACCTTGAAAAACTCATTTTCCCTATTTTTCCCGCACCTAAAATTTGTTTCCTTTATTTTTCATATAATAAAAGCATTGCTTAATCCACTTATCCGAAAATAGATTTTTTCAAAATTCTAAAGTGGCTTTACCCTTTAAGAACCAATGCACCCTTCAAAAATATTTCTGGGGCACACGATTTGCAGGAATTTTTTAAATTCTAGATGCACATGCCAAATTACTATGATCAAGTTCCTATTCCCCTGATTTCTTTGGAAGCAATTTTTTTGAAAAATCACTAGGAACTTTCTAATAAAAAACGTGATTATTATTATTAATGAGCATCAGTGAGAACTCTAGTGTCTTATATTTCATTGATTTATAATGAATATTTTTTTATGCAAAGGAGGGTCCCTAAAGCTGGTTTTTGGCCTAATTTATTTTTGGCTCAAAAAAATCTGAAGAAATTTTATTTAGTACCTACTAGCAATACTTGTTTCCACCCTAAATGAACCAACCCCCTCACCCTCCTTTCCCCCTCCACCCCCTGAAATGACGGGGAAACCATCGCTTATTAGAGGAATCTTTAAAGAGCTTAGAGATGCAAAAGACATTCAGTTCTTATGAGTCTTACATATGAAGAGTTTTTTGAGTCGCTGATCACAAATCTGGTCTCAGAATATCGAAATTCAAGATGGCGGATCCAATATGGCGGACAAAAAATTAAAATGTCTTCAAAATGCACGAATTTTTGTGTTTGGGGTTTTTGTGTCTTTGGGTATCCCATTTGGCAAGTATAAAATTTGAAATGTCTTCAAAATGCACAAATTGTGTTGAGGGGTTTTTTGAGTCGCTAATTACGATATATGGAATACGTCATTTTGAATTTCATAATTCTGAGACCAGATTTGTGATCAGCGACCCAAAAAACTCTTCATATGTAAGATTCATAGGAATTGAATGTCTTTCGCATCTCTAAGCTCTTTAAAGATTCCTCTAATAAGCGATGGTTTCCTCGACATTTCAGGGAGTGGAGGGGGAAAGGAGGGTGAGGGGGTCGGTCCGTTTAGGGTGGAAACGATTCAGTATTGCTAGTAGGTACTAAAAAAATTTTTTCAGATTGTTTCAGCTAAAAATAAATTAGGCCAAAAACCGGCTTCTCCTTTGAAGTTTAAAAAGACCCCATTTTTCAGAAAATTTCACCGAAAGACCAAATTCCATAAGGTGTGGGGTCCTTTACGTTTCCTTTTCAATATAAAAATCTAAGTGCCTTTGGAAATGCCTGAAAATAAAAAATTATCTAATTACTGACACTATACTGGTTATAATTGGTAAATAACAGAAACTTCTTATCAATTTTACAGGGACTTATTTACTTTAAAATTATCTGTTTCAGCAATTGGCAAATTTTTCATCTTCAGACATATCCAAAGTCTCCTAGATTTTTAAACTGAAGCAGCAATTCTACAACATTTTAAGTATGCATATGAAAATTATTTTGCATTATATTTTGATTTTTGACGAGTGATTTTCTAAAAAATTGCTGCAGGCCATGGGTTAAAAACTAGAGCATTGTAGTTGGTTCAAGAAATACATCGAGAAATCTACTGCTCGTTTTAGAGAGGTGTCCTTGTTCTCAGTGCTCCACACTGTAATCTTGCATTTCTACATTCAGTAATACTTGTAGAGCAGGTTGTGTACTATTTATGTGATTATTGTTTTACTTGCTGTTCAGCAGCTAAAATTAGCCAGGACTGATTGTGCAATTTGTAAATATTTACATACAGAACAGAGGCAAGAAAAAATAATGCCTGAATTTGAAGAAAACACGTGGGAGAGTTACAAATATGTCATTAAATCAACTTGTGTATGTTCGGTGGTTGAGCTCAACGAAACTTTATAAACGTTCAGATTCGGCTGACTTTATCTGTGAATTCTTATGAAAAATTATAATCCGCTCGTCTTCAGTGTCAAATTTGTCACTTGTTGCTTGATGGGTATTCGTAACTTTCCAGGGCGTTTTTAGAAAAATGTATAAAAGTTATCCATGTTATGAATAAACTTTCAAATATAAGTCACCTGCCAGTTCTACGCTTTGCACAAAATATAAAAATTGTTACAAGTACTTAAAGTGGATATAATCTTGAGAATAGTCGTTAATAAAGGAATTCCTGACGATTAAATGAATTAAAAATTAAAGTATGATTTTGATAGATCCATAAAGTTCTTTTGATAGACAAAATAATGTTTTTCTTTTCGACTGCATTTAAATAAGGTATTATAGTAATCATTCCAAAATTTATTAAAAAGGTGGTAGTGTTAAATTTTTAGTAAGGCTTTTAAATATCATTTTTGTTTCCGTCCACCTCTCCCGACATTAAAACTTAAAACTAAAATTTTTTTAACAATTTGTTAAAAAAACTTAAAAGCATTTAATACTTAGTACTAATTTATTAATGTACAATAACTGTGTTTTATGTAAAAAATATACGGACAATATTATTTTTAATATTTCTTATTATAAGACATCTACTTAATTGTTGATTTCTTAAACAATTGTACAGTACTGTGAAGTATTTGGGGGTAGAAAGGATTTAAGTAATAAACAAGTGTATTAGTAGTCTAGGTGAAATTTTGTAAATGTTTAAAGCGAAGCTATTTACTGTTGGTATTTATTTTTTCTTATATAAAAGAGCACGCTGCTCTGATATGGCACATGTACTTATATCTACTGTATTATACATCTTTTATTTTCCTGTAATATAGTAATAAATAAGTATTATCTGTTGGAAAATCGTGTTTTAATCGAATTTTAATTGATTTTTAGCACATTTTTTTCCATTTTGAATCATTGAAATTCAATTTAACAAATACATTGTGAAATGAAAGAAAAAATTAAAGAAAACTGGTCAGAGTCGAGCGTTGGCTATGAGAACACCTGAAAATTGTTTTACTTTAAATCATGAGTGCCGTTTTGGATATTAAATCTGAAAACTATACCTGGGAAATAAAAAATACAAAACGTATTTTAAAATTAATACACATTATCATATCTAGGTATCCGTAGATAATAAAAATACATACAATGCAAGTACAAGAAATATTCATACGTAATTTAAATTCCTGATGTTCATGTCCGTAGTTCCAACCCAACTATGCAAAGTCTTTGTTACTGTCATCATATTATATCGTCTCTCTTCCTCTCTCTTCCTCTATCCTTCTCTCTGGAAGGTGTTAACATTCGCTGTTGGAAAATGCCATGTGGAAATTTGTAAGATTTTCTTTATTGGCTAATATTGCTTCACTTAACTGCCAAAAAAATATTTTTGATTTTGTAGAATATTTAAGAATTTTCTATTCATTGTGAAAGCGGTACATAGGACATAGTCCACAAGGAAAAATTAATTCTGTTCCCTTCACAAAACCAGCATCTGAATTAGCATGCCCAATAATTTTATGGCTACTTGAAAGGAGTCCCCAAACTTTCGCAACGACAGCTTCGTTCTGCCAATATTTCATGTTTTATCTAGATAGGCAATAAAGCATCCTTCTCTATATTTCTTAATTTTCTTTTAATCGCTAATGTATGATGTTAAACTTTTAAATTAGAATTTTTCTTTTTAACATTTACACAATACAAATTCTCAAAAGCAATAGTTTATTTAACGGATGTGACCCATATGGAAAATACATTTTTTATTTTGGCAAGCAGCGTTGTACCTTGCTTTAAATTTACGTAAAAGTTTTTAATTGTTCTTATTACTTGAAAATTAAATATTTTCTCCTTGAATGGTAATGGCCATATCTTGCCAGGAAATGTGAAAGGTCTTTCAGGAGTCAACCTATCTGTATTTTTTTGATGTCTCATATGTTTCAAATGTCTCAAACAAATTTTTCTTTTTTATTTGCCATTTTAACAATTTTGCATGTACAGGGTGGGCCACCAGTAATGCCTCGGTGGCTAGGGACCAAACTGCAAGTGTTATAGAAAACTGTTTAGGTGGGTTGATTACGGCTACATTTTAAAAATATTTTGAAATATACAGGGTGTCCAGAAAAAGCGCACTATGGTAAATACATAACTTTCATATGTCGAAGTTATGTATTTTAAATGGAACACCCTGTATTTTACTGCATATTTGAAAGCACCATAAAAAATATTAAAGGTTCTGCATATCTAGGACTTATTGTTTGTGGGATATTTCAATATTAGTGAAAATGCAGGTTTAACGTCGAAATTTAATATTAGCAATAAAGAAATAATTTTAAGGAAGTAGCTTTGGAGAATGTATTTTAGATCCTTGAAGTTATGAATTATTATATTTGTCGTTACTTAGTATTGTACAGGGTGTTTAAAAAACTGCTGAATTTTTCTCTCAACTTTAGGCAGCAATAACTTGGTTATTTTAAATGAGTCACCCGGTATATTTTTACTTTGGAAGTTAGGAAATTTAAAACTCTCAAACTGTACATAGGTTCCCTATACCTATCTCTAACGGTATTGGAGATATTTGCGCCCTTTCGTTTTTTTATCGAATTTTTTTGTAAGAAGTATCCACATGTCTTTATCCAGGTTTTTATTGAATTGGTTTAGGTTCTTCTCTTTAAATATAAGTAGAAAAATGAAGATGCAATTAAATGACGCACCTTGAAATTTTTGATATTCAGCGAGAAATTATTTAAATCGAAAATTTAGTAGTAAATGGATAAGTAAGAATGGTGCATGTCAGTGGTTACCTAGGTATAAAGACCTCACCCTAATGGACTTCTTTGTATCGGGCTATATAAAAAATCTTGTATACAGTGTTCCAGCTACTACTTGCGATGATATGAAGGAAAAGATTAGAGATGCACTAGCCACAATCACCCCAGATATTCTAAGAAATGTGAGAATATCATTTGAAGATAGAATAAGGTGCTGCATTCAAGAGAATGGTTATCAATTCGATCATCAATTAAAATTTTTCTTTGTTTCTTCTAAATGTAAAATTTCCTGTAATAAATATTTTTCATGTTCCTAATTAATTTAATTCAGTTATGTATAACAAACATATTTATACAAAATTAATATCTTTTTATAATTATTCTGCTTATAAAATAATATTTTTTATTAGAAAACTTTCTTGAATATTATTGTCATGATTGACGTTTTATCAATCCAATAAAGACCTCGATAAGACACGTTGATACATCTTATAAAAAAGTTCAATAAAAAACGAAACGGCACAAATATCTCCAATACCGTTAAGAGATAGGTATAGGGAACCTATACACAGTTTCAAAGTTTTAAATTTTCTAATTCCTAAAGTAAGTCTGGGTGATTAGGGTACTTTCAAAAATGCAGTAAATACATTTAAAAATACATAACTTTGATATGGTACGCTTTTCCTGGACACCCTGTATATTTCAAAATATTTTTAAAATCTAGACATAATCAACCTACGCATACCCACCTAAACAGGTTTCTATAACATTTGCCGTTTGGTCCCTAGCCACTGAGGCGTTACTGATAGCCCACCCTGTATGCAACACTTAAGTCTGAGTTGCAAAATGCCGTCCCCTATAGAGGCAGTCCCAGTTTTATTAGTCAGGACTTTGGCATTATGTAGAGTATGTACAATATAAGTCCCAAAGCACAGAATATCCTAGGATATTCTGTGCCCAAAGTGGTTTGTTCCTGTGATTAGAGATCATTAAAGTTTTAAAAAATTGTACTGTTTTTTATTTTCTGATCTGTTGAAGATATCCAAATTAAATTTGGCCCACAAAATAATATATTAATATAGTTCCTAAATTTTTCAGAGTAAAATAGAAATCGTTCTTCGATGGATCATTCAATTATGAACAAACTTGTCACTTGATATTTTTTACTATTTCGATGTTTCTGGGCAAACTTGTTTTTTCTGATTTAAATTTTATTAAAGTTTTTTGCAAATATTTTATAGAAACCTAGATTTGTTGTGAGAAACACAGTTACAGTTACAGTTGACACATTGTTTTATTCAAGCACCTTTACTAAAATTAATAGGTACTTGATGCAGATCAAAAAATGCCTTTTCCATTTACAGTACAAGAATATTCTTAAGTAATGCATATATAATAATAATAATATGTACATGATTATTTTGACAGGAATTCTGTATAAGCAGTACGAGAGTATCAAAGGAGGTTTTAAATTGGAGAGTCTCATCACTGTGTTTTTCGGACCGTTAATACAATAACTGTCGGTTCAGTTCAGAAAAATAGTTAACAAAGAGAATGAGGGAGAAGGAACAAAGAAATCATAAATTCTTTTTGACTAATTTTGTTATTAAAACAGTAATATAGCTACTAAAAATAAACATATACATCTCTATGATTATCAGTCGGTCCAACGTTTGCAACCACCCCAACTAGAATTTGACAGATCTAGTTTGTATGACAAAATAGCTCAAGATCTTAATTTTTTATCTAAAATGTTATGGATCAGGTCATGTTTCATATGTACATAGAATTTTTTCAATTTCAATTCAAAATTCTCACAGAAAAGGCAAAGGGTTTTTCAGTATGAATTTTTGATTATTTGTTGGCTGGGTTACGGGGGTACTCCATGAGCAGCTGCATGAGATCTCTCGGTTTTCTTTCATTTCCTGGACCAAACTTACGACTTTGGGATTTAGAAATAATAGGCGAATACAATTTAATAAATTTAATGTACTAATTAACTATCATATGCAACATTTGGAACTCTTTATACAATAAATATGAAATGTGGAAATCTATTTGGTCTCTTACTATTAAATAAATATTATATTAATACACTCAAAAATTAACAAGAAACAAATAACATTACATACATAAAAAAATATACACAGGTTAGCAGTATTGTACTAAACAAACTTGTTTTAATACTGGAGTAGGGAATATTGTAATATTACATATAAATCACAACCCATAATGATTAATAATCAGTAACCCATCCAGGGCGTGGCCTCTCATGAGCGAAATAATTCCAGAAAAACATATTGCATACATACACTGGCAGCTGTTGCCCTCATTCACAGTGAAGTGGCCACACATACGCCGGACGGGCCCCTTTAATAATAGTAAAAATAAATGGCTCCATAAAAGAAAATATATTTCTGTGAATAAATCTAAAGGACACATAAAAGTAGCTAATAGAGTTAATTTACAAGTAGAAAATGTATATAAAAGCACATATTCCGTTAACCAGATCCAGAATAAATGTAAAAAATGCAAACATAAAAAATTATCAGTTATTTAAATAAAATTTTGTAAAGTATCAATATACATATCGACCACTATCGATTAAAATGAAAGTTCGTCTCACAATTGCGAAGAACTCGTACTCTCATCCTCTGAATTACTCTCCGAAACCATCGACTCCCCTGCTAAATGTTTGGGGCTTGGCAATGGTCGTGCACGCTGCCTGTCAAGTTCGCTAGGTAGTGCTGGCAGTTGTATGTCGACATCATGGTCTTCATCCAAGTCTAAGTGATCTTCGAGTTTCATACTTGAATTGGACGATTCACAACTCTCATCGAACTTGTCACAAAGATTTTTCGGTGAACTACTAATGGAACTTGTCCATATAAACACATTGTCATTATCACATTCGCCATTTCTGACTGAGGCTGACTTAGGCCTATCGAATTCATTCCTGTTTGAAGTAATTATAGCACTAGACGAAGCGCTTTGGCTCAAGGACATCCGTATGCGAGGGCGTTTATTACAAGGTGATTTTGTTGGAGTATTTTTTGGAGGTGTGGTATTCCTGAAGCTTCTTCTTACAATTCTCGATGCCACTACATCAGGACTTTCATCTAAATCTAATACGTAACTAACTGAATCGGATTTTTCCACCACTCCTTTCACTTTGGGTGAAGTTGGTGGAGACAAATCTTCTACATCAAATTCTAAAGAGTTTTTTGATTTTCTTGACCTAATGGAATCTTCTACACTTATGTTAGACTTGTTGGAGTATGTACGTTCCCGAAAGGACAGGGTTCGTTCCAAGTTTAACTTCGATGAACTATGTTTCTCATTAAAACTGGAGCTAAGTAATGACCGGTTAAAACTGGCAGTGTCTCCTGTTTGCTCCAGAACTTTGGAAATTACTTCTTTGTTTTGCTTTAGCTTCCACTTTAATTCCTCATTATGTTGGGATAATCGCTTCTTCTGGTTTGATTCTTCTTTGAAGCTATCTTTTAATTTCTGGTTTTCTTGTAACAGGCCCCTGCAAAAAAATGTAAATTATATCAATTTTTATTTCAAAGTTAATTAAATAATCTTTAAATGAGGAGTTATATATTCAATAATAAAGTCCCCAGATATTGACGAAGTACTACCATTTTAGGGCATCAGTCTCTATTGCAAACTCGGAAATATAAATTTTTGATATATTTTTATTAATCAATTTTCACATATTATTATTTTGAATAGTTTATTATGCCCAATATTTTGATCTAAATATAACAACTCGATTTTGTTCGTTTCCTTCAATATAACAAATTAATATTTGTCAAATCACAATTTTGGAGCAAAGAGAACAATTGGATGAGGTACTGGGTCAGCTCAAGTACCATTAGATATAAAAGTTCACCTAATTATTAACATTGCCCACAGTTTTAGGGCAAGTTGGCCAAGCCGTCTATGGTTAAGGGGCAACAGGATCAACGTCATCAGATCTAAGAAAAGGTACCTCAACAAGAGGTAATTATTTGCTTAAACTATTATGACGGATAATAAAATTGGTAAATGTAATAAACAATAAGTAACAATAACTGGGTAAGAATTAGTCAGATCTGAGGGCGCTGATCACAGCGTGATGGCCTACATCAAAATTAGTGGGCAAGCGTCAGCCCTAACTGTAACTTATTTGTTAGCGGATCTTATAAATTCAATGCAGTTATTTTATTCAATAAGTTAATAACTATAATTAACTAATAAGCATAGCTGAGAATCCAGATATATTCATACAAAAAACACAACTACTGTAATTTTAAGAAAGCACTTTAAAAACTAGTAGCTAGTTTAAAAGCTAGTAGGGGCAAATATTTTTCAATCATCCTGTAATAAAGCTTGCTTATCATAAAATCTGCCTGATAAATGTTCAAAGAAAGATGTTTGAAAAATAAATTCAATTATAACTTCTAAGTCGTTAAGTCGATATTCAATATGCCTGGATTATACAGGAGCAGACGAAATTATCCAATTAAACTTATACATCTTTGACAACGTTGCCAAATTTGACATTTTTCTTTCATAGTTCGATTTCCCTCTCACTTTGTTTAAAGAAAGGTATACCGTGTATCAGTCGATATCTTGTACCATTTTTGAGAAAATTGAATTTTATTAACAACATATATGTATTGTATCAAAAATGCGATGTAAAAATGTTGCTTTCTATAGAATTAAAAGAAAAATTATGTGATTTAATAATTCTTCCCTTACTACTATTTGTAGGAGTTTGATAAAAAAGACTTAAGATAGCCCCAAAGACAAAAATCGAGAGAATTAAGATCGGGACACCGAGGCAACCAGCGAAAAGTCCTACTTCGACCGATCCATCAATCGAGAAATGTGGTGTTTAAATAAGCCCTTACTGCCCTGCTAAAATAGGGCACCATCGGGCATAAGCCACATGTTATTTCAAATATTAAAGGAACGTCTCCCAATAACGAATTAAGGTGTTCTTGCAGTAAATGTAGATATTTATCGCCATTTAAAGCATCATAAATGATATGTGGTCCCACTAAGTAGTTTCCAATTAGATATTCTCATCCATGTAGTATTAATAATAAATTTTTGTTAGTGTTTTGTCTAAATATGGGGTTTTCGTCACTTCAAATATGCAAATTCTATTCTATTTGGAAAGCAGTTGGGTTGGTGTAAATCCGAACAGCTTCAGAAGCATTATATTGTGCAAGTTCGTACATCAGATGAATATCTGCAAATTCTTCATAGCTAAAATCCTCCATGATATTGAATCAACAAATGATGATGTCAAAATGATTTATGATAAATATCTAACTGCTAATGAACATACTTGTTGACAGTCACCTCAATTTCCAAGATTTTTGCAAAATGTTAATATCGCATTTTTGATATGTATGTTGCTAATAAAATTTGATTTTCTTAAAAACGGTACAAGACATCGATTGATATATGGTATACCTATCAGTTTTGTTTTGTAGGCTTCCATGGCTGTCGTTAATGGTCGACTTCTTAGGAAGAGAGTGATATGTCTCTCGAAACGTCAACAGTTGTAAATCGACGATGTGGCAACCAGTCCAGAAATCATTCAACCATATTGAATATCAGTTTAAACAAGACCTTTCCGGACACCCTGTATATAGCTATATATAGCCACCTCTATTTAAATTTTTTATTTCATAAAATCCGTTAGAAATCTTTTTGTTGCAAAAATTCTCTATATCAGTCTATCCCCTAAAAAAACAATATGAGTTCCATGCTTCATTATCAAAATATGACCACTTTGCTTTTCGAGAGTCGTCACAGCTGTAATTTTTTTGTTATAAAACTTTCCAATATTTCGTTATTTTAAATCAAATTGTGCAAATTGGAGATTAAGCCAAGAAATCAGTGAACAATGTGCAGATGTTTCATGTTGCAACAAGTACTATATGTTAAAATGAGGAGGAACAGTAAAGATAGACTTAGTGTTTATCTTTCAAAAGAACAGATTTTATTATTCACAGAGTAAGTATGTTCAAAAAATTCTGAAGGTAATATTTTCATTCTTATATCTGTATTCTAAAATTTTAAATATTTTTATATCATTTTTAGGAAATAGAGTACTTTAGTAAAAATTGTCAAAGGAACTCAAATAAAAGTAAATTGATTAAGAAAACAAATTAATACAAATATTTTCCTTTTCTTAATAATGTTTTGACATTCTCTTTATATTAGAATAGCTATCTCACAAATAAAACAAAAAGAATTTCTTCTTTATTGTCTGAATATAATTTATATAAAATGTTTTGCGACGGTGACTGATTGTAGTCACTTAGCCCCTTTCTGAATCTGAAGCTTCAATGATGCAGATATGTTTGTATTAACTCTTGGATAAAAAATGGATTTAATATATTAAAACTAAAACCTACTGTTCATATTCAGATTTCCTTTGTAGTTGTAGTTGAAGATCCTCGCACTTTGCCTTAAGGAACCTAGCCTTTTCTTCTGCGCCTACTAATACCTCTGCCTTTTGTGATGCTTCTGCTAAGGCTTTCCGTAGTTCTCCAACTTCTTTTTGTTTTAGTTCCAATACTGCTCTTAAAGACTGTACCTCCTATAAAGGAATAAAAAAAATAAAACATATTAAGTGAAGGAGCTTTCAATTAAAGTAAAGCCCCAAAAAATGTATGAAATCATTTTACCTGTAAACCAATTTCTTTGTCATCTCCATAGCTCAATAATCTATCATTCTCATCTCTGAGCCTTTTGTTTTCTTCAATTAAATTTTTAATTCTATCTTCCAGGTCGCTTTTTAATTGTGACACTTGTTGTTCAAGCTTGTGATTATGCTCTTTGAAAAGTATCTCTTTGTTTTCATAATCTTTTTTCAACTTCATACTTTCATGTTTGGCTTTTTCTACTTCTAGCTGTTTCTCATCTATCTGCTCTCTAATTGCATTGTTTTCTTCACGAAGAATATCTAGGGATTCTTCATGGGTTCTCTGCAATTTATCGAATTCCTTCTTAAGGGTGATGAGTTGATCTTCATGCTGTTTGCAAAGATTCTGTTCTGCTTGTTCCTTTTCCGCCCTCAGATACTGTTCTAATTCATCATGTCGATTATTTACTATAAAAAAAAATCGTCATAATTATTTTTCCATATAAATTAAAAAATAAAGAATTAATTTAGTGACTTACACTCTGTAAGTTGATCCCTGTGTTTGTCGATTAAATCATCGATGTCATTTTGGCATCGTTTTCTTTCTTCTTCCAGTAGTCTTGTCTGCTCTATCCGTTCTCCGTGTAACTTTTCTTCTAACTCTCGACATGCTAATCGCAATTCGTCAGTTTCTATGTGAAATTTTTCGACTTGTCGTTTAAGTCTTGGGACTTGGTATGCTTCTACCTAAATTTACATAATACAGTTATATAAACTGATAACTGCGATTTAAATTAATATACGGTGTTCTTTTAAATTGCACACCTCTTATAACTATTATACAGGTTGTCTGATTGATGTTAAATTTGACCATCCAAGGATAAAAGGACATGGTTTATCTGATAACAGCAACTGCATTATTGCCAGATTGCCACTTTCTCAGATAAACCAGGAAACCTTGTTTTCTAAATGGAACACCCTGTATATTTTTATTTTTACTAATAAGATCTTTAATTTACTTAATAATACCTTTTAGAATCTTATCTTTTGACTATTTGACTTAAAAAATAAAATTTCGATTTCCAATTGTTCCTAAGTTAATTTGTATTTTATTTCAAATCTTATGGTTCCTATTTACAGTGAAACTAAAAATCACTTCATCTCAAAAACTATTGGGTTTATTTTTCTTTCAACTAGTATAACAATGTTCTTAAATTAAGTTTGGATAATTTTTTAACCAACTTATCCATAACTGAAGGACGAACAAATACAAATATGTATTAAATTCTTTCCTCAAAAAATAATACTATCGAAAATTTCAGTATGACTGGTAAAATGGAATAATGTTGAAATTAGATATCTTTTTCCTTCATTTCTTTTTCTTTTCAGACATTTTAGGTTCAATTGATCTGTTTTAACCCTAGAAATTTCCCATAAACTGTGTACAATAATGGCACACCCTGTATGTAAAAATATACAGAGTGTTCCAATTAGAAAATAAGATAGATTGCACAAAATTAGTAGTAACTTAAAAAAATCCTTCTGTATATCATAAGCAGCGTGTGCGGGTGTTAAATATCCCATTCCTTTTATGTATTTAACCATTAAACTTAAGATTATTACTACACTTTAGGTGCAAAATAGTAGGTAATGACTCCCTTTCAACATATAGATCATGGATAAAACGCGCGTGCAATGCGATTCCATGTGCGTATCATTTAGAGAGTTTCAAAAATGATTAAATATAGAATAACAAATAGATGTCGGTTATGGAAAAGCTAGATTATCTTTACAAATTTATATTCACCTTGGCAGAATCGAATTACAATAGGTAGGTAGGTAGATTTGTATTTATACTAAAGTTTATATGCCCTTGTAGGCAAAGATATTACGCAGTGCGTACATTTGTTTTGTCTTTTTTTATTATTGTCGGAAGTGTGGCCAGTATTACATCACAGTAAGGCGACACAAGATCAATAAAATCACTAAAAGTTTAAATGTCACTGACAAATGAGATGCATTACCGATAAGACATTAGAAACGACTGTTATAAGCATTAATAAAATCACTAATTACTGTTGTCGTTGTCACTATCATTGTCACTATGGCTATTACTGCTGCCACTAAAGGTATAAGTTCTATATAACTTCAACCTCTTGGATTGAGGTCCCACATTCGCTGTTCTCTTTGTGTGTGTGTGTGTGTGTGTAAAATGCTCTTATTCTATGTCTCTGTTACCTGATTAATCGCCTCTTCATAATTTGTTGTGTTTTTTCGTGCCACAAAATATTTATATTCATCATATTAGTTAGTAGTCAATGGGATTCAGCTCACACTGGTATGGTGGCAATGGAAGATGTGTTACACCACAAACTTTTTTCCATGTAGATGTTGTCAATTTTTCTATTTGTTGGCTACGGTAAGGCGCAACAGTGTTAGTCGCGACTCTATGTAAATTATTATCCAAATATCTACTTTCACTTTCGATATGTGTATTATTATCAATCGCTGTCTTTTCCCATGGGGTGCCTTTAATCCCACATAAAATCCTCTTAAAAATACTTCACGTCTGCTGTTGATATTTAAATCCTGCCAATCGTTGGAACGTACGTTCATTTATCAATGTTTCGTTGAGACAATAAATTTTTGTTTTTATGTACGGCACTATTGTTTTTTCTGAATACTCTCTTTGCCATACTATTGGTTAAATAAGCTACTCAAGGACCATATTACAATATCGTTTTTTGTTATTAGCATACTTTTCAATTTCTTTTTAACCCTTTCGCTGCGCAATACGTCTGAACGTAGCTACCGCGCCGTGCGTAATTGTTTATCGCGTGCGAATATATACGTCTGGAGCAGTTAGACCACTTATAGTTTTACATTATGTTGTGTTAAATTACGATTTACGATAAATTTTACGATTTTATTTTGAATAAAATACAGTATATGTACTAAATAGAAACTGAAAGAAACATGAACAATCTTGGTACTATTACCAGTACCTCTTTCCATAAAAATATTTGTCACAATCGGTATAAGCTCGCCCGCAAAAATTCGCCTTACCAATTGCAATAACCGAGTCACTATGCGCACGGTTGCGAATATATACGGTTTGAGCAGCCTGATCCAATTTAACTATTTATGCGAATTTATCCGTCTGGAGCAGTTTGAGCCCTATAAATTTTTAGCGAATATATACGTCTGGAGCAGTGAAAGGGTTAAGTACCTACCTAACGGAAATTTCATTCCTGTTAATCTTCATTTTCCTACAAATTGTATATTTAACATAATGATCAATTTCCATTTTTTTCCTGTCATGATTTTTTACATTTCCACCATTTTTTAACGCAGATAAACATTTTTGACATACACTTTTGTTGAAACCGAATATTTCCTCATAAAACTTCCAATTTTAACAAAACTTATTATAATAACTAAATAATAGCTTCTTAACTGGAAAATGATACAGGTATTTCAAGAAGTCAAATCATGCAGCCTCACTTGTCTCTCTTTCTGTACCCGATAAGCAAATATAAATACAAATATGATTGTGCTAGTAACAATAGAACATTCCAAGAGCGGATACGCAAGCCGAACATGTCATCGGAACACTGTGCGAAATGAACAGCACGTTACAATTTCCACGCATAGAATTCAGATAATTATTTTAACAAGTAGTAAAAATTGTGGTTTGACTTATTTATAACTCAGTGCCTACTATTTCGAACCTGGGGTATAGATAATTCTTCTACTAAATATAAATAAATGTGGGATAATTACGTTGAAAACGAGGTGCTGAACAAGAACGGCAAGGGCTTCGGCAACTCGAGGCACTTGTTTTGTGGGAACCCGGGCCTGCGTAGGGGGCCGTACGGAGGGCGACGTGCGACCCCCTTTCACTGTACCTCTGCCGCACTCTGTAACAAAAAAAAAAAAAATTAATGCAAAAAATAATCTGTGATAAATATATGGTAAAATAATATTTATATCACAAAACACAAAACATATGTAATATTGTTCCATCAATTATTTATTAATTTCATTTGTAGGACGCCGTTTGAAAAAATAATCCTAAAATCAAATGCAGAAATAATAAGATCTTATCTGTCATGAGTTGGAACAACGAGAATACATGATGTTTCTTTGAAATATGTTATTTAACAATCTCAACGTGCCACGAAAGTGTTTTTGAATTAACAATATGTAGACATATATTCAATTTTTATTTTAGATAATTATTTATTACTAGCTATTTACTAGATATTGGTGATGTAATTCAATGTTCGTTGGGGGCATACAGTCCATGGAGTAGTTGTTTTCTGCAATAATCAGTTAAATGTCTTGTGTGTGCGATCTTCTGCATATGTACTTAAGTTTTTGGTATCAAAGAACATTGCTGGGATTTTCAAAAATATTTTTTTATTTATTTGAGTTAAATTAATATGTACTTTTAAAATAAAATATTGAGTATAGGGTGCAGATATTTGAAGATTTAGAATGACTTTCAACTTATTTATGTAATTTCTATAAAATGACAGAACTATAAGTCGTAACTGCCCTTTGTTTTGCTGCTAGTCGTAGATAATTCTTTCGCTCACGACTTACAGATTTTTATCTGAAATCAGGGCAGCTGTTTGGTTGTTTAAAAAAAATATATGACGGATTGTTAAATTCAAGTAATCAGCTGTTCTGATTTCAGATTAGAATATAAAGATCATGTGCGAAACAACTTTTGGCGATCTCTAGTTCAACTGTTGTTAGATTGTAGATAAAATATATGTTCGGTTTATTTACTTCCGTGTCATTTTTGTATAATAAGTTATGCTCCTACAAATATATCAATTTTTTATTATGTCATGTAAAAACAAAGTACGAACCTGATATATACCTACGATTTACTCTCGGATCTTAAAACAAAACGTACTTTTCATGTTTATATTTATTCGAATTTTGAGAGAACAATAAATTCCTCTATTTAAAATATGCCGTTTCCTTGATTGCAAAACAACACGTGAATATGCGTTCTTGTTTTGTCTGGTGTAATACCGTCATGGTATATATTTTTTATTACGCACGCGTATTGGAAATATGCTATTTAAAATTTAATATATTTAGAAAATAAATACCTACTTACTAAGCGAAATGACTACGATCTTCCTGTTGTAGCACGTGAAGACCCTGTGTCTACTATTGTGCCTTTAATTAATTATTATCGAATTTCTAGGGAGGGGATGAGGGCCAACTGCCCCCATGGTAATTTTGTCAGTGCGCATATGAAACTTGCGAGCAAGATGAATTTGATCGAGTTGTACAGCTACATAATTATCTGTTATGTTCAAATCCTGCTTCGTTTGTGTTGCAAATTAAATTTTGATTGTTTTTAAGGGTTGTTTCAAAAGATTAAACAAACTTTTCTTCACAAACAGTTAATATTACCCACTTTGTTTAAAGTCAATAATACCGAATCATATTTGCAATACATATTAATTTTGCTAAACCTTTAGAATTTCTCATGATTTTTTTTCATAAATAATGTTTTTGTACCAGTTATAATTTAATCAAATTTGAAAAATACTAAAAGCTGAAACATTAAAAAATGTGGCAAAATAGTAATTAAAAGTATATCAGTTCTAAATTTTATGAAAAAAATACATATTATTTGTTACACTCTACAGTTCCTAATTAAAGATATCGCTCTCAGTTACGTATGTCTGAAAAATCGTGTTCGAGCACCTATATTTTGATATAAACACTGACCACCCTGTATGTTCAGTGAATATGAAATTATTTCTGGCAATTTTATTTGGTCTTTCGAATGAGGACTGAGCAAAATGTGTATCGACAGACTTTTACATTTCGTATTTATTAAGGTTAAAGCAATTTTTGTTGCCCCGGTGGCCCTTAAAAATAGTACTTATAATTAGAAACGGAAATCCTCAATGTACAGGAAGACTGGAACGTGCTCTGCACTGCACACTGATACGAAAGAATGCGAAAAATTAAATGAAAATAAACGTGGCTTTTATGAACTGTAACTGACAAAATGGTGTTTATACAAACGCCGGAGCCACCACGTGCATACCAACTTCGTACCGCGTTTTAATTATTTTTTACAAGACACAAAACGGTAATTTTTTTTGTTAACATCCTCCATACCTACTCTGTAGGCGTTCAGATCAAAAACAATTTAAATGTCATGTTTGAGTTTTTGGGGTCGGTTTATTTAATAATATACGGGTGTTCGAAAACTAATGGATCATAATTCAAAGATAGCTTCCTTGAGTGAAAATAAACCTATTTAGATTAAGTTCTTTTTGGTTATTTTATCACGGTTTATTTATGCTAAATACCAATGCTAAGAGATGACGATAAAAATTTTGTCGTGCGGTAGGGATCTTTTACTTGCCTAAAATTCCTCAGACAAGAGGTCGAGGTTTTACATCATCTCCGAGAGATGGTAAATCTTTCTATACAAATCTGGCATTTTGTATAGGTTAATTTAACTCGACTAGCAAAATTTGTCTGCAAAATACGTGGATTTCTCGTAGGTCGCCTTTACATCTGTAAAATGTTTACAGCGGTGGTCATGGTTACTGTCCCGCAGCAGTGAAAGACGGAGGGGGTGTAACGCAGTTTGAGCTCTGATTAGTCCGACCGTAACCAAATAATAGTTATTCACCGTTTTTTCTTAATAAATGTAATTTGTTCAAGTATGGTGTAAATTTTGTTACTTATACATATGTATACTGTTTCTTGTGTGTTTTTTAAAAAATTGTAGAAGTTTTAAATGACTGTAATACTTGCAATGCTCTCTATTGAAAAATCAATGATGTGAGTAATACCAAATTTTAACGAAAAAGGAATTGAAAAGTTAATTTCGGACAAAAACAGAAGAATGGACTTTCGCCATAAAAAATGTTGAGTACATTTTTCCTGTTTCAAAAGTACTTCTTAAAAAATATTATTAATAAATTTTTCCGTCCTCTCTAGTATGGAAGTCAAGACGTCACTGTTTATATGATAAAAATACAGGGTGTGCCATTTAACACTCCCGCTCTCCGAAATGAAGAAATTTATTTTAGTTCTAGAAATTGGGGTTGTTAGGTCCCTCGAATAGCTTCAAATTGTAGTTAGAATTGTTAGTTCAAATCTTTCTGTATAGATGGCGTGGCGATACTATTTTTTTTTTAATTCCTGGAACGTGGAAATGCAGTCCATCTGAAAGATCGTTAAATTTTGAGTAAGTTTGCTAATATAAAGTTTTTCCCTATATTTACTTGTTTTCGAGATATGTCGACATTAATATGCAATGTATGATATAACACGAAAATCTATTAATTTATCTAAATCACACCGCGACAAAATATTCTTTTAAAACATTGTTATAATGACTTTTTTTACACCACATACTAACTAACAAACAATAAATTATAAAAAAAAACAAATGATCAACTACAGAAAAAAATTTTACAATGGTAAATCGTATAACTAGTATAGTGAAATTGAAAGACGCAAACTGATAAAACTAATTATTAGAAAACTAATATGTCAGTGTTTTATTTTAAACAAATGACATGAGTCACCTATGACTGCATTTTTTAATAACATTTGATAAAATACGGATCGTCTCTGACCATTGTACAATTTTTTTTTCTGTCATTCAATTTTTAAATAATTTATTGTTTGTTAGTATGTGATATGAATAAAGCCATTATAACAATATTTTAAAAGAATATTTTGTCACAGTGTGATTTAAATAAAATATGGATAGATTTTCCTGTTATATCATACATTGCATATTGAAGTAGACATATCTCGAAAACAAATAAATATAGGAAAAAACTTTATATTACCAAAATTACTCAAAATTTAACAATCTTTCAGATGGACTGAATTTTCACGATCCAGGGAACAAAAAAATTTTTAGTATCGCTACGCCATCTATACAGAAAGATTTGAACTAACAATTCTAGCTACAATTTGAAGGACCTAACAACTTCAATTTCTGAAACTAAAATAAATTTCTTCATTTCGGAGATATTGGCAACGGGAGTGTTAAATGGCACACCCTGTATATTAATAAAGATATATAACAAAATATGTGTAAAATATAATTAAATTAGAATACCCCAAAAGCTTCTATGAGTATTCCATACCGTAAAAAATTAAATAAATTTTTTCTGAATTATGCATTTTAATTACATGCATGTGAATTATAATATGGTATGCCTACGCGCATGTGGTGACGTCATTTGAGAAAAATACTGAAGAAACTATGGCATTTATTGGCATACAAGACGGAAGTTTCTGTGGTTTTTCTTATAATCCAGAACTGATGAACTCTATACATATTCACATCATTTATTTTATTATGCAAAACAGGTGACGTTTCTTCAATCTTGACACAAAATTTAAGGTTATGTTCAAGAGCACACAATACTATTTTCATGCCACAGTTACATGCAAAAATTATATCTTTCACAATTAAAAATACGACATTTAATGAAACGTCACATATCATTTTCAAACAAATTTTCGAAACTATTTTAAGTATTCTTGGCGACTGCTATGTTTTAGATAAAAAATAAGCTTGTGTTCATTTTCGGCCACCTAAACAACTTTCTTACACGAAATTTCGCTAAAATATCTTAAAATGTGATGAAGTTGAATAACCCGTAACTTTGTACTAAGGCAACTCGATCTTTATTTTCATCTAAGGTAGCTACCATCAATATCGCCAATTTGTTTTGGAACACCCTGTATATCTCAATTCTGTCTAGGGAGACAACACATTTTTCAGAACATTTTCCATTTTTGTCTGCTGTTATAGTGTTATCAGATGTCTCCGTCTGATTGTGAGAAAATTTTATGACCTATTTCTTCATTTTTTTCCTCAATTTACGTCAGTAATTAATAA